ATTTTATGCTGATTTTTTTTTGATTTATAACACGAGTTTTTTCAAAAATCTGATTTTGCATAGATGTTTTTCTCTGAAATTGTTAGATATCTTTGATCTAAAAATGTGATGTATATCAACGTTTTTATTGATGTGTTAAATTATTTTTTGATCAAAGTCCTATTCATAATAATAATTTTCGATGCTTTCTTAAATTACAAAACTTTTTAATTGTTTTTTTTTAAATAAATTATTAACCACAATAACTAGAATTACATAATTTTCATTGAATAAATTGGATCCACAGTACAATTTTACTTCCCAATCAATTAATAGTACATCGTAAAAAGTACATTGTTAAGCGATTTAAAAATCAATATCTGTCGATCCGAAACAATTATTGTTAGCGGGGGACACATGTTGCAATTCTACCAATGTTGCGACTTTGCGCGACTCACTTTGCGACTTTGCGCAACTCAAGTTGGGACTTTGCGCGAATCATGTTGCGACTTTGCCTGATTCATGTTCCGATTTTGCGCGACACATGTTGCGACTTGCACTGGAAAATTTATCTGACTTTGTTGGACGATTTATTTGAAGGGTAAAAGACCAAGGTACGAGCTGCTCAGCTCAAAAGGTTATGCGCAGGCAATGGTTGAATTGCAAGGTTTTGATTCTTGTTTTTGGCTAGTTGAGCACCTAAAACTCAAACATATACAAAAATCACCGATCCTGGTACGCTTCTCAAAAGCGTTTTTCGCGATTTAGTTGCAATGATTTGAAAGCTAAAATGAAAAGTCTTATAAAACTTTCACATATATATTGATTCTAGTTCTCAAAGTTTCAAATTATTCGCATTCTTCTGGTAATAATTTAGCATTAACTATAAAATTCTGATTGACTGTGTTCTTTTGAAATTTTCGACTATACTTCGATTTTATTTTCGACCGTATATCGATTTTCTGTTGGAATTTGTGTTGGACTTTATTATGGTCAAAATTTTGAATCAACATAATTGGACCACATTGTTTTTGATTTTGTTATCAAATATTATTCAAAATGTGTTTTGAGTTATATTTCGAAAATAACTTAGATTGGTTTTAAACACGGAAAAAATATGGAACACTGAAAAGTCTAAAATAACGAAGTTTGCTTGAAACTTTTGTAATTTCTTTTTTACGTGTCTACAGGAGACTGAAAAACGTCTAAAATTCATGGCAAAAGCTTTGATATTAACGAAAGGTTTGAAAGAGCTAAAAAAAATTGAAGTTGCTAAAGATCTTAAAAAGCGAGAACATAGAGGAAAGCCAAAGTGCCCATTAATTTTGCTTTAGTCATTTTTAAGACTTGCCCATACCATTTTTTATAATAAAAGAAAGAAACAATTTTCAAGGCTTCTAAAAAACTGATTAGTACGATTTTTTTTACTTTCTTTTTGTAAACAAAATTTTTGAAAATTTTCAACAAAGCGAAGCTAAAAACAGGGCGAAACTGTTGCTCATGTGTGAATGTATACGACAAAAAAAATTGACTATCGAATTAAGCAGTTGAAAAATTGTTTGAGACTTTTAATAAAAGCAGTTAATCAAATAGATCAAACTCAATCGGGAAAGCTGGAGTGCAAACTAAGACAAGATATGGGTATAGACTGAAATTTGATATGAATTCGGGGTTATAATTTGAACATTCATGTTTTTTGCTTTTTACTTTAAAAAAATGTGCATTTATGTAACCTTTTACTTTGATACTACAATCTGGTCATTTTTTCTCAATATCTTGTAGTTAATGTCAAGTTGATTTTAGCTAGAGCTTTCTATTTGAAAGTTTGGAGCGCTATCAGTTATTATCATAGATTAATCTTTTGCTAAACTAAAACACCGAAAAAACTGATCTTTTGACTATTTACCTGATCACGCTATTACCTCTCTATATACAGTGGCTTTTTGTCAAATCTATGCGATTACTCATCTCAAACTAATTGTCTAACTAAGAGTTCGACCTTTCTTTCAAAATTTGTTTGAGGTGAACCAAGCTTCCGTATTCACGCTCTGATCACTAGCAGGATCAAAACAGTTAGCATCATGTTCTCTTATTTTGCTTATCGATATTTGTCTTCTTTACTTACAAGACTAGATTTCGAAAAAATAATTAGTTGTTTGAATTTGTAAGATAAAAATTCAAATCCTATCATCATCATTCTACCTGACTCTTTGGATTCTATTGTGTTGACAGCTGTTTCACCTTAAACAATGCTCTGGCACCATTCTGAAATGATGAAAGCGCCGTTTTTTAGTTTCAATGCTTACAATAAACGTCAATTATGTTGTGTTATCTTAAGCTGGAGCGACTAACGAAGACATTTTTAAGTTACGAATGTTAACTTTGTTATGATTTCTTGTACTAATTAGGTTTGGAAGTTTTTCTTTTAATAATTTAAATTTGGAGACTCAATCAAGACAAACTTTCTACTCATTTCAAAGATATGAGGCGTAAGCTTTTGAATTCATTAGCATAAAAAACACTCTCAACAAAATAAATTTTGAATTAAGAAAGTTTCTATTGATTGTTTATCTGGTTACACAATTGCTCAACTCTTTTGATTTATAATTTTGATTCAAAAATAGGATTTTTCAAACTAATATCTTTGGATTTTTGTGATTGAACAATTATCTTTCCAATAAAAAAATACTTGTCATTTAAACTTTGCTCGCTCACCGTTTTCAGCTCTACTAGCAGCATGTCATTTTCTGCCATTTTATATCGATCGCGTTCATCTGCACAGTCATTTTTTTCAGAAAACCATAATTTGTCTCTGATAATTGTTTTGTCATAATCATTATCTCTATGAGCAACAGTTCATCAAACTCTTTGGACTACATGCTCTTGCCAATTGTTCTTGTTGTTTGCTACTTTCAATCACAAAGTTTCGTGAAAACTTGAAAACTGATCTTTCGTTTTATGGCTATAGAACAATTTTTGTAGAGATTTACTTCAGGTAACTTGACCTTAGAATCGATGCTGCATATGCGACTTTTTCAAATTGAAGTGTTTTCAATTAGAATACCTGGAAGATTAGATAAAATTTTTACCTTTTGACAAAACGTTTTAATTTGGTTGTTTAGTCTAGCTGCTTCATTTTTTCGAAAACTTGAAAACTGATCTTTCCCATTAAGATTTTAGCACAATTTGTGTGGTCATTGACTGCAGGTAAATTGAAAATTAAATCGATGCTGCATATGACACTTTTTCAAATAGTAATGTTTTTACTTAGGACACCTGGAAGATCAAATATTTCGATGAAAATTTTAAAAACTTTATCAGGTTGTTTTGCAAATCAAGAAAATGAAAGACACTATAATTATAATATCTGGTTGATTATCTGGATTATTTTATAAACTTAAGAAGAAAGATGAAAAGGTTTGGGTTGAGTTACTTATAAAAATTTTTATAAATTACAAAAAACGATACATACACCCACAAGTCATATAAAACTACATACCTGTATAGACATACACATATAAATACGTTTGCATAAATTGCAAACTTACATGTAACCTTTCAAAATGTAGTCTTACATACATACATACGTAAATACACAAATAAACACTTACATAGGACATTCATACAAATTTTATAATAAATTACATACTTACACACATTTTAAATACATACATACATATTTACAGAAACATAAACATACATGCACACATACATACATACATGCATACATACATAAAACAAAAAACATACATACTTACATATATGACTACAAACATACAAACATACATAAAATTACTAATATAAATAGTTATTTAAAGAGATTCATACAAACAAACATAAAAAGTACATATTTATACATGTATACATAAATACACTTTCATACATGAAAAATTACATATATACTTGCATACATATATATGCTTCTATTTCAATGGAATAAAATAGAATAATTGGGAAGATTTCCAAAAAATAAACTTGAAAGTCCAAAAAAAAACGCCTCAATCGAACTTGGAACGATTTCTAATACAAACTAAGTATTCGCGTGCGCGTTAATCGTCCCAAATCAACCAAACTGGCAGTATTTAAGCCACCAAAATGTTAATAGGAAATGATGACAGTTAAAAAAAATTTCTTTTATTTGAGCCCAAGTTTATAAGTTTCGAATGATATAAAAAAGTTCGGTAAAAAATTGCTAATTAAAAAGTCGAAGTTCTTCTAAAAAAAAAACACACCGAGCACAAAACTTTTCGTCACGTTTTTTGAAAGTCGGAACAACAACGAAGCTAGTAGCCCTTTGTTGAAAATTAGTTCTGATAGGAAACGCAAAGCTGATGCTATGCTGGTTTAAATTATCCAGACAAAACTAACACCATTTGAGTTGTGAACGACTTAGATGAAAATTATTTCTAATAACTAATGCAACGCTGGTTTAAATTATCCAGACAAAACGAACACCATTAGAATTTCTAAGCTCGTTTTCTCAAATTGGTTTGGGATTCGAAAAAAAACTGGAAATAGGAAAAGTTGCTTATAATTTTACAAGAATGAAATGGTGTAGTTTTTATGCGAAGTCCGGAACCAAACTTTTACCAATTTAAAACTTTTAAAAAATGGCCATTTTAGCTTTTTTAGAACTACGAAACCTCGTGCATAGCCCAAAAAAATTCTAGAAGAATTATATCTCCAAAAATCTGTATAAGAGAATATAGTTTTGCCTGAATGCCAAAAAGAGTCATTTTCACTTCATAGGACTTTTTAACGTTTTATTGAATTATTTGGACATTTTACCTTGCTAGAACTTCAATGGGCTGTGTAAGATGCTTTTGTTGATATGAATGTATCATCAACTAGTCTGATAGCTCCATCAGTTAATTTAAGAAAAGCAAAAATGGCCCATTTTTGAGGTAAAGTTTCTGATAAGAATTTTGCGAAAAGGCCTTACAATATTTCTGGTGAAGTTTAAAGCAACTTTTGTTCTCTTCACTTTTTTATCATGGCCCAATTTGAAAAAAAACCACGTTTGATGTCACAAAGTTTATTCGCTTTGTCTGGATAATTAAGAGCCGATAAAGAAGTTTCTTTATAAACCGATTCCTTACAATTGTTCACAGAATTTAGTTTCGTTTTAGCTATCAAGAGGCGGGAATTGCACACAAATCCACGGCTGATCTTCACATATAACATTCAGTTTGAACCAGTCAAATGTCAGATGAGCCCGAATAGTGCTGTGTTCAAATGCATGTACTGCATTATCTTTGCTGGAACGAAGGACAAATACATTATCTGGCACGCCTCCAACAAATTTCAGAAAGCCCTGCCCAAATCCGACCATTGTGATTTCATTTATGCATAATTCGCTATTGAAGACGGCCTAAAACGAGGCAAATTCATTATAAATTCAAAGTTTTAAGAACAAGTAAGCTGCTTCTTAGAAAACAAGACTGCTCCTATCAGAGCAAAGTTTTTTTTTGGATATTCCGACTGCCACCTTAGGGTCCAGGGAATAATTTTTTTCTAACACTTTCCTCACAAGCTACACAAAATACAAACTGATTAACTTAGCGTCTAGCAACGTACGGTTAGTTCAACTAGCTTGTCTCGAATCAAATTGGAACAATTTCTGAGCCGAAGTAAATCGGCGCTCACGCGTTAATAGAACGAAATAAAATGTCGCGCAAAACTTGTCTATACTTTTGTCGCGCAATCGTCAAATTGGCAATTTTTCAACAGCCAAAAAAAACTTTAAGCCAAAACATTAGCCAAAACAAACACTATCTGAGTAAATACCTTATCGATTTCAAAAAATTTCAGAATGCTAAAAAAACCAATTCAAAAGATGCAAATTAAACAGCAAAAAAATTGTCTGGAGATTTTTCAATTTTCTTCGAAAGTTTTTTTTCAGGTCCGGTTTCTTTTAAATCATAAATTTTAACTGATTTCATTTTTTCATATCGGTAATGTTTTTCATCTTTCATATCGGCAATCAGTCCCAAACATTATTGCAAGTTTCATGGCTTGTTTAAAAGATTTTTTATGGCTAGGTTTTGTTTCTTTCCTTTTTGCATGTTTTGTTGGTACCTTTTTTAACTTATTTTGGTACTAAATTAACTTCTAAGGTAGCTAAAGCTTGCTGTTCGATAGGTTTCAGTCGAACATTCTGGCATGAAGGGAGAGCGCTAGCCAAAATCCTACAAATAGGCTATAATAAAAAAAACTGAGTGTCCAAACGCAACTTAAAATACTAAAAAGACTGCTGCAAACATCCTCGAAATAAAAAGAGATTCAAGCTATGCAACATTCTGCTCTCAAATGTTCATTCGTTCCTTCTAAGAAGGTTTAAAAATATTATACATTTTTGCAATTTTTCATAAATGGAATTGGTTTTTTTTTTCACCAAGATTTCTTATTCAATTTTCTACATAGATTTTTTTTATCAGTAACCAAAAATGTTTTTGAAAAGCCCGGACAAAAAACCCGCGTTTGTTTTTTTGTTGATAATTATTGGCAACTATTTAGTTATAGTTTTAGGGGATTCAATTTAATTTATGCCCGACGTCTTAATACGACAATTTGCATTAAAAAAACGCAAAACCTAAGAAAAGCTGGATATTTCAGCAAAAAACAAATGCTGAAGAATGATTTCAAATTACCATCCAGGAGAGCGGTAAACATTGATTCATGCGCGTTTCGAAATTAGTGTCAATTTCAGGTGCAGCGGAGTGGGGCGAAACAAGCAATCGCTACCTGCCGATGACGTGTCATCAGAAATCGCTACTTGTTTTATCCTTAAATTTAGTTAATTGTATTTTGTAGCGAGTTGTTGCCGTACCATTTGAAAGAAGTGGACAATTTTTGCTACTCTTCTTCTGCTAACAGAAGTACTAGGATAAGTAAGTTAAGTATAGACGCAGTTTTTTTTCTAGCCGTCTTTTTCGCATACAATCAAATATCTAAGAATGATCTGATACTCTATGTAACGATCAATATTATGCTTTTAGATATTAAATTCTTCATTTTTGTCAATATTTTTCTTTTAGATATTAAATTCTTCATTTTTTGTCAAAAAATTGGAGTTCGAAACTCGAAATATTAAGGCTGAAAAGAATTTTTTATTTTTTTTTTCGAATCGTGCTTTATATTTATATGCCTTAAAAATTTTGATCATCTTCTTCTTTAAAAATGAAAAACTAAAACCGGCTGAAAACAGCATAACAGCTTATAGAAATTGCCAAAAGTAGCTAAATTTGCTGCATGAAATGTGTTGTCGAATTGTCCTAATGATTGTCCGTACACAACTGGAAATAATCATAAGACGAGTAAATTAACAACCTGTCCTCCAGCCAAAAAAATGTTTTATGAAAAACAACAAAAGTTTTTGGGTGAAACCCAATTTTTTTGAATTTGTGAAATTACCCATTTCATCTCAAATTAGTAAGGTAAAATCGAAAAACTCTAAACCAGTACTTCTAGTTTTTGTTGAGCCCCTATCTATGGACCTTAAGCAAATTTTGATTATCTTGCCGTTTTTTGAATCTTTTTGACTTGTCTCTCGAAAACGATCAAACCAAACCTGAATTTTTGAGTTCAATTACAAGAAAGGGCGCAGAAGAACTCCCCTATAAAAGCGGAGTGAAACTTAGAATAATAATTTCATAAAACGATGTTTTTTAAGTTATACATAGTAAAACAAGGATAGTTGCCCTGCAAGTAGCACAGAAGTTCCGACAACAATGAAAAAAAAAAGTTAACAAAAAGGTTTTTTTTTTTCAAATTAAGTAACTTTTTATATCAAAATGTGTTGATGTATCTGAAGGAAAAACTCGACTTTTTTCTTCTTTATTGGCGGGACTTTTTATCAATGCAAGAGTACAAGTTGCTATAAGAAGCTAATTTTACTGGATCTAAGCTCACCTGGAAGTAAAATATTATATGCATGTGATGAGATCTGCTCGCAAAAATTGGAAACTTCAAACCGGTTTTTCTCGACGCTGGATTTTTGTTCTAATGTCGCTTGAAGTCCAACTTACAGGGTTTCAATATGATTTCTCACTCACACACTTAATTGTAATCAATTATAATGGAATTTACTTAGAATATGACCAGTTTGAAATTTAAAAAAATGGGCTACATTGGATGTATAACCCATTTCGATGTGTTCCAGATGTTATTTCATTCTACCTAATTATTTCCATTAGAACAGTCTATTGCATTTATTCTCTCTCATGAAGTTTCCGTGCTTGTTTAACATAGGAGCTGAACTCACCTCATCCGAGACTGCTGGGTTTTTAAGCTGCTTTTTAACCTGTAGATTACCTGTAGCATAAATAGGTAGACCAGACTACATTTTTTCCAAAAATGTTACTATGAAAATATCATACACAAAAATGTTTATTGACTTTTTGCACTCCTCGTCTTTTTTTTGAAGAACGCATTTCAAAAGATAGGCTTGCTAAACTGTTTACTAAAACCTTAGTACAGCTTTAATTTTATTTTTGAAAGCAAGGCAAATTTTGATAGCAGAATGCACCAAATAAGATGTACTAAAAATGGTTTGTTTGTCTTCAGTTGACTCAAATATTTAAGGTTTTCTTTCTGCTTTCCGCCTACGAATTTCATAAATCTTATCGCGAGAAAAACACTTTAGAAAAAAATCAGTGTATATCGACTTCTCGCATTCAAGTCTTCCTATCCAATCTAATTATCCTTTGAAAAGAAATGCTTTTTCTTTCGTTTTTTATTTTTAAAATGGCGAACTTCCTACTGCTTTTTTAAAACGAATAGCTTAGGTCGGAAAATTTTGATGCAGCTGTACAGAAAGTTTTTATGTCTTGTGATTATGTTCAATTTAGATTTGTAATGTAAAAGGTGGATGTGAATCTACCTTTATTGAGTTGAGTTGTTTTCCAGCACTGCCAAAGTTAGTTGCCTTCTGGAAAAAGTGTTCGGGCGAGAGGCCTTTAGCTTGGCCATACATTTTGTAAATGGTTGACTGATAGTTGCAGCAGGATCCCATTTCTAAAAAAAAACAGAAAATTGCATCTAAATCTTAACCACGGCACAACCCAGTGGTTCTCCGTGAAGAGACGAACGAATCGTACATTGTGGTTCTTCACTTGTGGATTAATCGTCCTAGTTTATAAAAAAAAACTTAATGTTACACACGTAAGTAAAAAAAATACATAAATACATCAATAAATTGGTGTTATTTCATTTCATTTTCATTTCAAGTCGAGCGAAGCTTTTGAGAACTCACATAGCCAATCATGTGATCCAAATCATTTTATTCTACTCTTGAAATCCTGAGGTACTAAATTTTCCCGTCACTTCGAGCTATGGTAGGAGCCATAGAAAACTATATTTCGTACGGAGGGTCACATGGTAATATGCTAGGTGTCTCAAAAAATTACCCCCCCCCCTTGATTTTTTGAATGGTCTCACATGAAAGGGAAGCTTGTGAGCAGAAAATTTAGGGCGGCGGGCGGGGGGGGGGGGGTGCGGATGCCTTTTTCTCTCAGGGATTCGGCCCCCTGCCGACCCAAAAGGTCCCCCTTTGTTCTATTTTAGGAAATCCACTTTCGGCTGACTAACCCGAAAACTTTTCTACAGACGCTTTTGACGCCAATGTATAATAATTTTGATCCGGGGGAGTGCGCGCCGAAAAAACGCAATTTTTCGTTCGAAAATTTTCCAAAAAGTGCCTAAAAACGCTTTTTAGCCTTTTCAAAAATTCGCCTGTCGCGCAGAAAAATTGGGTCAAAATAGGGTTTTTAAAGGGTTTTGGTACATTTGGTACAATTAAGAAAATCAGATTATTCGACCTAAAAAAAGATTAATTTTTGAAAAACTGCCCGACTCCCTCGAGAAAATCCTAGATCCTCCCCTGGGACGAGGAAAGAGGAAGTCACACATTATGCATCACTTTTTACTAATCAGGGTCACAATTGCGGTTCTCCATGAAAAACTCCCCAGATTGACTTTTTAGTTTTTTGTTTGAGAAGTTTCTGATTTTCAAAACGGCTGAAAACCGACTGGCGTCGCATTTTGTTGTTTTACCAGCTGATTTTTTGAAAGTATGGCTTTTTTACATTATGCTTCAAAATAATGATACAAATAAAAAGATTTTTTTTTCTGTTGTTCGGCCCAAATTAACAAAAAGTTAGTTTTGCTTATTTTAAATAATTGAAACCCTATTTTTTTGCTAGAGTTATTTAACCTAATCAGATATGAGTATCGAGATTCAGTTTCCAATATTAAAAAGAAACGCATAAATCGTTACCAAAGGTGTAAACGATGGATAGAGAAAACCAATTGATCTCGTTGTAAAGTGGGTGAATCAACTCCCAGAAATCATAGAAATCTTCCTCGTGTGGAAATCTTGCACTCTGCATTTTGGCGAACACCACACCCATGTAACAGTAATGCGAGCTAAAAAAAAATTCTCCCTTTGATTTCTCGATGAACCTGTAAAACTCTTATTTTTTTAAACAATCTCTTTGAGGTTCAGAGCAACTATGATTGAAGTGATGGAGTTAACTACTGAGAATGAACCAGAGGTTTGCACTGAGGATAGTGAAAATTTTTTTTTTTAAATTGAACAAAAAAAGTAAATGAAAATGACTCGACAAACTAAAAACTATATTAAAATCAGTAACTTATTTATCGGACTAATTTTTTAGTTTGAGATCCCAAAGCGACCTTATCTGAGTTAAATCAATTTGGAACCCCATACAGACTGATTTGTTTTAAAGGTCAGTCTGTAATCCATCATCACTCGACACTGTTGATCCATTTTTGCCTTGCTCATGAGTATGTTGAAAAATCTGATTTCAAAATCTAATTGTGGCAAAAGTGGAGTTCTAAAGTTACAACTTCAATTCGTTGTGGAAAAAAGGTAATTTACATCGACATGCTTAGATCGCTTCTGAATGACAGGATTGTTGCTCAACTTGATAGCTATTGGCCATCCTTCATCACTCCATCTAAATGTTGTAGCTTAACTCCAGATGTTTGCTTTATTTGGTTATCAAAAAAACTTCTGTGCAGCCGCCAGTGCGATCTGCCCGATACCTCCAGGAAGCGGTAAAACTGAGTCACAATAGCTAGAAAACCAGTCCTTGTTCGCTTAGCTATGTACAACACAACGAGCCCAGAGTACCCCTGTAATCGTCAAGCTTCATGGACATTGCCTATGCTGACCCAGATTCATGCAGTCCTTCGTCGACAGTTGTGCGCTAATACGATCTGGTGCCCAACTGGTTAGCATTCAGCTACCCCAAAGCGCTCCAAGCAGTCGTAAAGGTGGTGTGGTTGTGATTTAATCACAGTTGCCTGCCCAGGTGACAGATTTACCTACCTTCCAAAGAACCTCTCCTGGTCTGCATCAAATGATGATGCTATTTACGCAAATTAGCATATAATGCGTTGCATTATATGTTCACCTCATTGTGAGAAACAAAAGCCGCTGCTGCCTCTAGTAATCCCGACCTCGAGTATGAAAATGCTCAGCAAATGGTACACGTCTTTTCCTGCCTGGCGAAACCGAATTGGACTTCGAAGCAGCGAGGTTACTTGGTTACGTTTGATGACTAACTGCTATGGCTGCTCCATTCAAACTGTCTCTGCTTCCGAAAACATCTATCTGTTGTAGAACAAAACAATTTCGAGCATCCAAGACCAGCAGAATCTTTTTTTTCGGTTTGATAATATCTCATTGGAGCGTAGCTTTTCCCATGACATGATTTTTTTCATTTGATTTTGTGCGTCGAATATTCTCCAAGGCAACGTCTTCCTTTTGTAAATAGAAGTTGCTTTTGAATAGCCCGTTAACTCTTCGTTTCCAATCGCTTGAAAGTTGTTATCTGTTAGTCAAAATTTAATGGTTGTGTTCCGCGTTATAAATTACATCTGCACTAGTTATCAAGTAAAAGCTTAACAACTTCAACATCTCCAACTGAATTTACAGAGCCATCTCCACAGTTAGTCTGGTTTTTTGTTGGCTGGTCCTTTTCGCACTTGGTTTTTCAATTAAAGCGCCTCACATTTTTCAACACCGAGTTTGCAATGGCTCACTGTTCTTGCCTGATTGTTTGCCAGGAATCCTAGTGCACGCAAATTATGTGTCTCTGTCGACGAAAACCGCTTCTCGTTTCTGGTTGTGTGAATGAATTTGAGAATGCTCACGGCTACCGACATCGCTTCAACACAAAATTTCCTCAGTAGTTTTGTCTCGACAAGTAGACAATGCGTCATCTCAATGATCATTTAATTGTAAGTTTTGCTACCCTTTTCTGTTGAGGATTTTTTTGGTCTGTGAGCTCTAGCTTTATCTGGTATTCTCTACAAATTTTTTAAAAAACATTTGCCTGAAACTAAACTACATTGTCAGTACGCAGGAACTTCGGTGTTCCATGCGAAGCCACGAATGACGTTTAGTATTTTATCACTCTGCTTCACTAGGCAACTGACCACTGTCAACCACCCGAGTTATAACCAAAAATCCTCAAAGCGTAGAGTGCCCATGTTTGCAGGCATTTTTCATTGGTACATGATTATCACGCTGCCCCAGTTTTGTTGATTTGTTTTCAGTCTTCTTTGACAACATTATTTCGTCAACCTTGGAAGCTGTACAGTTGGAAGCTGTATTGAAAGCCCATTATGAGTGGTGACAAAAAATGCTCATCATAGCATCTCGTCAGTCTTTAATCTATGCGTCAACTGATCCTTTGCCCTCAATCCCTAACAGCTTGTTGTTAATTTTTTTTCAATGCCATCTGCTGAATGTAGTTCACATAGCTGAAAAAAACCACCCTGTCGCGCGCTTGTTTACAAATGCATTATTTATATGCAATTCGTTCGTATCTTTTTGTGGCATCTTTTGAGCAGTAGCTGAAGAACTGTCCTAGCTTGCTTGCAGTTTTTTTGCAATTTGGGAAGGTTGACAGCAACAGCACTTGAAGCATTTTAACTTCTCGGATCCTGGCTTACTTGCTTCTTTTAAATCCTTTCCTCGAACACTAGATTGACCATTGTATTCCTGTCATTGTGTTCCTAACAATATTTTCCGGCTGACTACACACATATCATCTACAATTGTGACAAATTTTTATCTTCCTCGCAGCTTCCAAAGCGATGTTATCATGCCCAAGTTGATCTACACATCAAGCTTGTCTCGAGTCATCGATGTTACTCAAACTCGTTCCTAGATCTCAAAATGTCCTGGCTGGTTGCATTTCCCCTGCACCACAGAATGCACATAATAGTCGAACAATGCTTCTGTTAAAACACAATAAAGAGTATGTCTGCAATTGGTCCTCCATATTCGCTCAACCGGTTCTTCAGATCTTAGCTAAAAATGAAGTAGTCATCGATATCTTCCTTTATTTCTAGCAAGACGGCCTACTAGGTTCGCCCCGATTGTCCTCTCTGCACTGCAACATTCACTTGAAGAGGCCTCCTGGTTTTCAACGCAACGCCATATCCGTGAGTTTTTATACAGTCATTTTTTGTACAGCAATTTTGTCTTTCGAGGACCATACCGAGTTGTTCCGATGAAGTACTTCTGCTAGAGCTTCTAGCTTTTGCCTATTGTTTTATAGACTGTCTTTTGATTGTCATTCGAATTCTGATGGAGGGTAGGTTTAGCCTCTGTCAAATCTTCGTTACCAATCACTCGCCTGAACAGTTCCTTTGCGTACTTCAACGCCACCAACTTGATGAGCCATGCTGTAAAGTCTCAAGTTTTTCCAAAGAAACAAGCTAGTTTGAAGTCTGTACTTGCTAAAGCTGTACTTGCTAAAAAAGTTTTAAATCAAGTTAAATTTAGTAATCTCGACATTTAACCTGTTAATATTTGAAATCAGAGCAAACTATTAATGCTACAGGCTGAACTTCAATCTGAGTTTTGATATGGGGATCTATATAACCTGTAAATTTCTAGAGATAAAAACAAAAAAATGAAGAAAAAAAAAAGGACCAAAAAAATTGAAAATCACAAAAAACAAGTTGTTCAACAAAAGTTGCTGCATGATTAACTATTTTTTTGATCACCAGCTGACCTTCTTTGAATTTTAAAAGTTTTGTCTAGTTGACCTCCTAGTTTGATCTGGGATTAGTCTGAGCTCAAAAACCTCCATCATGAGTTTCAGCGAAGGTCATGGACCAGGAAAAATCATTTTTTCTTCTTTCAAAAAATTTATCCAATTTCTGCGAGCTGCTCAATTTCGGACAATTAAGGGTTTTTTCCATCAATGCAGAGAGTACCGCGTTATTCGAGGGTCCATAAATGAATAAATGATATTCATGTTGTTGAATGTCAAATCAACTTCGATTTCAACCAAACTTTTTCTAATGTATATGCAATTCGCGATCTGCAACATTTCACGCAATGACAAAACACGGACATAAAGGCAAATATTTCAAATATTTTCATCTCATATGTTTTGTCGGAAAGTTTCGATTGTTTTTTCTTTTCGTGAATTTTCCGAAATTAGACTAGAAACTGGAGAAAAAAAAAGAGAGAGAACTTCAAACACGAAAATTCTGTAATAACACTTTAATGTGCTGAAATTCACTCTTTCAAAAATGGTCGGAGACTTGGTGAATTTTTCCCTCCTCAATCATAAAAAAATGTGGGAAATTTGTGATCAGGAAAGAAAGCCTTAATAAAGAATTAGTGTCACCTAAATTGGGAGCAGAGATAGTTGACAGATCTTGCTGGCGCTTTCCGGTCTGGAATCGTAAACAAAAGTGACTGCCAGTTCTCATCAAGATTCAGAGCACCCTCACTTCTGTACACCACTAAAACATTGTAAAGATTAGGAGAAAAATTAAATCAAATTGATCATATGAACCAGAAAAAAGGATCAAAATTTATGAAAAGCTGCAGAATAATAATACACGTCTTTGCAGTATTTTGCCACATTTTCATTGCGTTATGCGCAAAAATCAATGTTCTGTTTAGTCCATTAAGGGTCGGCGGTTTCACTGATCACTATTTCTGTGCTAAAGAATTCCCAATTTGGTTTCTAGCTTTTCCGAACTTTTGTTACATTGCGAATATAACCACCAAAAAACTATTCTTAATACTAAAAGTATATACGCAATGAGACAGCGAAACCCTGAATGTCCCGACTGCCTTTTATGGTTTATAGAGCAGAAGATAACATAAAAAAATTAAATGAAATAAAATAAAATCATTTTTTTTCTTCTAAAATTTGAAATTTTTTATGAAAATCATCTCCCCACACGCCATATAAAGTACGAAAAAAGAGATTTCGTTCCTTGTAACAAATCAATTATAGCAAAAAAGCTTCGTTCAACCAATTTGAAACGATTTATACGGCGGATTAAATCTCCGCTTACGCGTTTAAATTTATTGCGCGTTAATTGTCCCAAATTGGTCAAAATGGCCGAAATGGCAATCTTTAAACCCTCATAACTTCACGAAAAATGATCACAGGTGAAAAATCTATTCAAATTTAAGCTCAGGACAACAATACCTTTTGAACGATATTTTTAAAAAAAATGGTCAAAAATGGCTAGTTAAAAAGTCGAAATTTGTCTGAAGAAAAAAAAACCCACCCGAGCACAAATATTCCGTTACTTTCGTACGAAATTCGGAACAACAAGACTGCCCGTATACAAGATAGGGCCCTAAATGTTCCAATTGCCCCTTGATCCATATCGAAGAGTTTGTGGGAGAAGAAAATATTATAAAACTATGAATTTTGGACAATATCGAAGATCAATTGAAAGAATTTGAGTCTTACAAAACTAGTAAGACCAATAAGCTATCCTCAATTCTATGTTATATGATTTTGTTGTGCTGCATAATTGGCAAATTATTAATTCGTTTTACGCTTTCAGCGTTATGAATAAAAACTTCAAAGTGCGCATATATTAGCCCAGATCATGGCCAAATTGATTTTAAACTCTCTTAACTTTGCAAAAAAAGATCGGAGGTAAAAAAATCTTTTCACATTTGACTTAAAAAAATCGATATCTTCAATGATGTAAAAAAAATTTTGTTGAAAATTACTATTTCAATCACCGAATATTGACTGAAAAAAAAGAAATTTAAGCAAAAAATTCCGTTTTCTTTGAAAATGGGAGCAAATAGTAACTTCTCTTCTCAATTTATCTATCCCAACTGAGACACTGTAATTATCATTTTTCCAAGTAGCTTTAAATCATTGTTCACATAGAGCTGCCGGTACCGCTAGAATTTTTAGCAGAAAATATTCCATGAAAAGGGAATGAGTGAGCGAGTGAGCCCAAATTTTCATATGAATGTTCCCCGTAATCACGGAAAAACTGACCCTATGGCACCCAGTTCGGAGCCCAATATACAGAAAAATGAGCAGATTCATCATCTTCTATGGCAAATCAAAGAACATAAATTGGGCTCATTCAGCCCCTCCCGGGTTGACGAAAATTGCTTATCATACAATTTACATATATGAAAAAAATGCTTATCATACTCTTTCATACAATGTCATAGATTAAAAGTAAGTGTATAATAAGCATAAGTAAAAGTAAATAGCAAAAAAAGCATTTTTCCATTCTATGAAATTGCTTCATTAACATTTCTTCCATAAAAGAAATTTAAAAAAAAATTTCGTTTCGAAATTTTGTGTTTCAACCGAAACACTAACCAAGAACTTTTTGTCATAAGAAATCCCACGGTAACTGGCAGTTACCACGCAGATAAACTGCATTTGGTGATTACAGCCAAGAAAGTTAGTTGTAACATTTTCACATGGAATTATAAACCAAAAAAGTAAATTTTTGAATATGGCTAGATAGTTTTTAGTTTGAAATTTTTGGTGGCTTGGAAAAAAGCTTAGCAAATGAAGCAAAAAATAATAATCGCATTTACAAAAAAAAACACTTTCTTGTGATTTTTGGAATTTTATAGGATTTTCTTGGAACTCATTCTGGACTATGTTATAAACACAAAAAGTCAAATTTTGCATCCAATATTTTTTGTAAAATCTTTACTATAGCACAAAAGCAAGTTTCCAACCAAAAAAGTGATTGAAAAATTTATTTTTTTTATGACAAAACGATCATATTATAATTTTCATACATGCAAATTGTATGACAAGCATTTTTTATCAAAAATTTCAAATCATTTTTTTAATGACCAGAAAGCTTCAAAAGAAGCAATTAGACCAAAAGTGTCCATTAAAATTTTTTAAAACACTTTTTAAATTTCGTATGAATCTTTTATGATAAGTTTTTTTTCCATAGATTTCATATATGAAACTGTATGATAAAAACGAAAAAGTCTACCTAGTGCCCTGTTGTGGAAGCTGTTCAAAAAGAAAGACTATACTTTATCACGATGGAGTAGTTGCGTAGAGGCATGCAAAAAGAGAGGAGTGCCAGCTGAAAACTGTTTGCTTTAGCGGAAACTGGTTAATAAAAGATTTTTTTTTTGCATCAAAAATTTTGTGCCTCCATTGACTCCAACTTGTTTCAAGAATCAAAATAAGATACAGCACAGTTGTGTGAAGACCTATTACATGTCGGGGAAATTATGAGAAGACTTTGCACGCTTCTTTGAATGAAAAACTTCGAGTAGTTTTGTTGCGAGAAATAATATTTGATCTTGAAAACTTTGGTAGTCGCGTATGAATTTCCCAAAAATATACGTGCTCAATTGGAACTATTGCTTGAATTCTCATCCAGGGTGGTTTTTTTACTTGATATCATTCAAACTATTTTCTCCTTCTTGGCAGATGATTTGTTTAAAATTTTTTAAAAAATCAGTTACAACAGGCGAGTTCCCAGAGCTACTAAAGTTCGGCCGTTTGTCTTGTTTTCCTAATAAAGCCTCACTGAATGTCGATCAATTCTGTTAATCAAAAAAATCACGAACCATTTCATACTCAGCAAGATTCTAAAAACTTTTTTAACTCTGAACTTTATATTTTTGGTTGCTGTCTGTTGAATCAAAAATGTCTGCTAATTATTTGAACGTTTCACTAAAGCAGCTTTAGTAGAAGTCTCTTCCGTTGTAAGCGCAATAATTCGGTTGAAAAAAAAATGTTTTTGGTCTCATTAGTGTCTTCGATAATATGCATCACTGTTCCCTGCTTTCAAATTTATCAAATTGATTGGATAAAAGAAGCAAACCACTCACATCCTTTTAAAATTAACTGACTGGCAGAAATAAATGACGGTGATAACATTTGAGAGCGACAATTCCTCTACTCAAAAGATTAACTATAGATGGAAAACAGTGCCTTTTCAATGGATTGTGGATCTTTGTTTTAGTGGCGTTGTTCTAAGAGAAATTAACATAATAGCATAACTCAGCCAGTCTATGAGGCTCTACTTTGTTGTTATTCGAAAAAAAATAACAGTCAGCCGAAAATGTTGTTTGGATTGAACAAAATGTTTTGTTGAAATTTGTTACTAGCAACAAGAAAAGCATTGATAAACACCTTAAAAATTCTCAATTGATTACCTTGCTCAACTAGATCACTGTTTTTGTTATTTCAAAGCTGAAGTACTGTAACAGTTTCTTTTTTTTTCGTTCGAAAACTTTGCAGTTTTACAAACCTCAAATCGCTATGAAAGCAGCTGCTCGCTTTGATTTTTGCTTGAGTTGTAGAGTTTTTGTTTTACCAGTTACACTGGCTGCCGAGTGAAAATAGAAATAAGATTCAAATTGGAACGCTTGTTTCTCAAGGTTTTTGTTAAAATATATGGACTCTGAGGGGCGCCGGAAAAAAACGCGATTTTTTACTAAAAATTTTCCAAAAAATGCATAAAAACGCCTTTTTGGCCAATTTTTTTCAAAATATTGCCTGAGACGCAGAAATATTTGCCAAAAGAGGGTGTTTTGATTGCTTTGCGAGAGCTCGGAAAATCAATTCGGTCGATCTAAATAAACGTTCGACCAAATTTTCGAATTTTTTTTGAAAATACGCCACCCTCTCCCCTCGAGAAACTCCAAGATCCAAACCTGGTCTAAATACCTGCAAAAAACTTGATGTTGGTTTTAAAATCAAAATCACAACCAATTTAGGCTCTTGGAGTTTTTCATAGATTTTCAAAAAATATATATATAGGCACTTTACACTTTTTTGCAAACTTTCTGTGTTAAACCTATTTAATGGCTGCTAAATTGAAAGACAATTTTGATCAAATTGAAATAAGATGCCAAAACTTTGTTGAGAAACGCTCCTTAAGAATAACAGAGAGAGTGATAGCTATTCCTCTAAAAAATAAAAGTTTTTACCTTCTAAGACTGCTACTGCGAACACCAAATAAAAGTGCATCTTAATTGCCACAATCTCGAGTATTAATTCTACTATTGCAAAGAAATAAAGCAAGCTTCGAATTTTGTAAATCAAAACGCTTTGAAGTCCGGCTCATTAATTCTACTGAAAAATATACAAACCAATGTGACCTTTCGTGAGTAAATGCTAGTTTGAACAAGTTAATTTCAAGGCAATTAAAATTCCATTCTGAATCCCCATTCGACCTTTTCAATATTTCATCTTTACTGTAGTTGTTTCAACCTGGTGAAGTTGAAAGAGTTGAAAGGGTTGAAAGAGTCTGAATTAAAACCTCTAATCAGACCCAGCCTAAGTAATTCAACTATTCAAAAAACTGAAACTCTTAACTCTACTTTTTTTTTAAACAGAATGCTCGGAGCAGGGCAAACTATTGAGTTTTCTGACTGTCATTTTGAATTGCTGTATGTAATTGTTTTATTTTTACTAAAAAACCTACCTAGTTTGAGTCAAGTTTCAATTTGTAAATGATTCTAATAATCGAATTTTTTGCTCATTTTATCGATCAGAATGAACAATTCACGCATGGAGAGGATCCAAAATTGGAATTCAAGCATGCATGAAATCAGACAATATCAGCTTTCTTACGGTTTTTAAAAGAACGGATCGAAAAAATTGTCTCATAAAAGTGGATTTTAAAAATCAATTGTTTTAAGTCTGCGAAGTTTTGGATATAGAAAACAAAGCCCACATGCATGATAAGCCCACAAAAATCAGTGTACTTACGATGGTTTCACTTTTCAATTTTTTTTCAACATATCCTGAGCTTATATTAGATTATAACTTTATGGGTGCTATGAATGACCTTTTTGAGATATTCCATTATGTAATTAGAGCCATGCTAGTTGGTATTGCGAATTGTTCGTTTTATGAAGTGGATTTAGAGTCCGATTAACAACTTAGCTTCCAAATAAAATTCAGCTTGAAATAACTCTGAACCAACAATTGTGATCAGCTTTTCTGGCGCTGTAAAACAAAAAACGGCTCACAGAGCATTTAACTATTGCTTCGAAAATATTTCGTCGGACATGCAGTACCCGGGTACATGTGGAAACTCAATAAATCATGTCGAAATGGAGTTAATGGAAAAACACAATATCGTGAAGAAAAAATTTCTAGTAGACGAATCGGCAGAAGCAGATTTGTCATATCAACGGTTTATGGAGTTACAGCACTTTCCACCTACAAAACAATCGAATCACGCTGTAGTGATTCCAAAATATACTCACGTTTAAACATTGGAAAACCGAGGCGAGCTTCAAATACATTGGCCCTATAAACAGTTGGTAGCTGCGAGATATTCGGATCGAACCACAAAATCCGTCCGTTTCAAAACAACGATCGTAACTGATGGACCGATACAATTTCAAATACGCGAGGAATTGGTCAAAAATGTTGTTTTTGGGCAATTTTAGGAAAATTACTACATTTTGGCCGCCCCCTGGATGAACGTGTTCGTTCGAGTTTTGTAGAAAATTGCAAAAATTAGGGTCATTATTTACAAAATTTGATCAGTTTTCATGGATTGATGTACAAAAAATTATCCATTATATTGGAAACAAAAACGGATTATAATCAATAATAATGGATTATAATGATTTAATTTTTTTTAGAAAAAATCGATTATAATTAGTTAAAAATTGATTAAGTGGTCTAAATATGCCATGATAATCGATTATATAGACAACATTTTAGTCAATGAAAATCCATTATGATCGATTATTACTCATGAAACTTCAGTGCGGGAACTCTGCTGGTAAAAAAAGTAACTGATTGTTTAAATATCCGTAAAATTAACCTCTGGAAATGTATGAGCACAAGAGTTTAGAAATTTTGACCAGATATAGAAATCTAACTTTTCCTCGGACTTAACAATTTAACAGCACAAATGCACTTTTAAATTACCTGAAAACTACCAGCAGGCTACAGTAATATTTTTATAGGAATAGATTGATAACTGGACTAGGTTAATGTGTCAAATTACAATTCTCAAATCATTTTCAAAAACTAAACGCAAGCTATCAAAAATGCCACACCATGGAAGAGTTTTGTCTAAAGCAGGTAGCTTGAAATCGAAAATGTTGGTTCTTATGATTTTCTTTTTTTTTTCGTAGTGATTTAGTCATTTACATATTTCTTATAGTCAGCTTTCGAATTTTTACTTAAATTGATTGTTGTTTGTTGAAGTTCAAGCATTTATCAGCAAATTGTTTGTTTCTTTTTACCTTGCTTGGAAACGAGTTTCCCCGTTCAACCTTGATTTAACAGCAATGGTAAACCGAATTGAGCTTACATTAGAAATTAAAAATAAAAAAGTGAAAAAAAGGCGATCAACATGAATTATTGATGTTCATTGGCACAATAGCAATTTTTATCGACAAATAATCGGTATTTTTTTGCTAATTTTCAGCGCATGAAACATCAGAAAAAAATCTATCAATTTGAGCAAAAACAGTAAGATAAGAGCTTTGCAGACATGTATGCTACCTCTGCGCCATCAATCCTTAGAAACATTAAGTTAAGAGGCTCATCAACTAAAACACTCGTTTGAAAGTTACAAGAATGAGTTAAAAATTCGTAAGTTTTAATTATGATTTTCAAAAGAAACATCACTGAAATAGCTCTGAAGTATCGCAGGTTTAGCTATGCAAAAAGTCTGAAAAACACATGAATCAGCGCTTGAATATAGCGATCACTGAGATACTACAGAAGAAGCGATAACTAACGGTGGGACTTCAACCAGGGAGTTTTTCAGAATAGAATCCTATATTGTATAGTGTTTTGCAAATCGTTTCGAGACTTCGTACTCCGGAATGGAAGCCTTTTAGACTACCAGAAAGGACAAAGCGGTCTGTTACTTCAAGATAGAAGCTGTTAAATTGATTAAATTGATAACAAAAAATGATATTAGAAAAAAGTAGAAAAAAACGAATTGATCAAAATTTTGCATTATCAATAATCGGATTCGATGGACGAACCAGTTTTGCTTCTTCTTCCATTTTCAAATCAAATTTTTTGATTTAAAAGCGCTTTGACTAGTTGCTAGTCCACACTCTACCCACTGACTGATACAACGAATGATGATAATTTGTTTTAAAAAATTCTAATTGTTACTACAGTTTTGCAGTTCTTGCAGTTTTTTGTCGCATATAAGCGTCCGTTCGTTAAAAAAGTAAACCTCACTTGAAACATAAATTTCTCAAAAAGAAAGTTAGTACCAGAAACGCAAATAAGTACGAACAAAAGTTATTTGAGAAATGACGAAACAAACTTTATCGATCTTGGTATTTTGTTTGCAAAATAAAGCAAAGAAGGAATAAATTGAGTTCACAAACAACTGTTTTAGACAAACTACTATTATTTTATCTAGCAAAATTCTTTCAATCAAAAAAATTTCATGTCGCCTTGACCTGACCTAAAAACTGTTTTGAATATAGAAAAATGAGATTTTTTTTTAATTTAAAAGGTTTTGCACCGCACCCTCTTTTTTGCACTTCATTGCTGATTTGCCGTCTCAAATAACTCCAAATTGTTAAAGAAACGACTCGTTTAGTATTCGAGTTAAAAGTGAAAGAAGTACAGTCAAAACAAAAAATTTTAGAACGAACAGCAAAAAAAACTAATCAAGTGAATTTTGTGACGATGTGGATAAGCAATTTGTATCAAAGAGTGGTTATTCGTATTTGAAAGAGTGGTTATTCGTATCTGTTTCATCTGAATTTTTTAAACCAATAAACTATTTTTTAAACAACTAGCAAAAGTAAAAAGTAAATAGTTTCATCATCTGAACTTTTTTGTTTGTAAAACCGCCATTTTAAGTTTTAAGGTCACGTTTTAAGTTAACAATTTTGTCAGCCACTTCAAGCCGATACTGATACACAATTCAAGTTGAAAAGAGAAAAATTAATTTAGATTTTTTTCAAACAATTGTTTTCATGCTGATGAAATATCAAACTAACTTTCGTTCAATGAAAAACAAAATTTAAATTATCTAAAATTGCTCATAATTCTTTGGAACCTTCTATGATTCAAAAGCAAAAGACTCAATTTTTGTAAAAGCCTTGTTTTTCCATCATTTAAATAGCTTTTCTGACAAAAACTATAGTTTTGAACAGTCTTTTTGTGCATTAAAACTGGAATATATTTAAAAAAAAAATTGAAAGTGTTTTACCAACCAATTTTTTTCTCAGATAGATCAAAGTTCTCTCTCATCTGAACGTAGCAATTGTCTCAAAAAATCTTTGTTTTAACATTTGATATTTTGTAGCGCTTGATAATGTTCATAAACAGGAAAAAATCTGGTCATGCAGTAAGCAACAAAAGTTTTGCATTTTTACTTAAACTATGGAACAGCTTCATTGTCTTTCTTGATTGCATTTTAAATTTCTCCGTCACCATCAATTTTCGTCTTTTTAAATTTTCATCAAACCGTTCTCATCCTCTTATTAGTGCACACTCAGCCAGGTCTCATCAATTTTATTTTAAATTCTTATTGTTCGGACTTTCGTAATAAAAGTAACAGAAGTTTTGTGCTCGGGATGTTTTTTTTTCCAGACAAATGTCGACTTTTAAACCTATCATTCGAAAATTCTTGTTGCACTGAGCTGAATTTTAATGAAATATTCTACCTGTGATAATTCATTTTTTGCAAAGTTATGAGGGTTTAAAGATTACCACTTTGTCAAAATTGACAAACAACGCGATATCGATCTTCATTGGTTGAAGGAAGTTTATTTGCCAAATTCGATTCGTTACTAGGAGCAGAATCTATCACTTCGTACTTTAAAAGGCGTGTGGGGGGATGATTTTTGCAGAAAATCTCAAATAAAAAAGTTTTATTTTTTCTATTACTTTCAATTTTGTTGTGTTTTTACTGCTCCTTAGACCTTAAAAGGCAGTCGGAACAATCAGGGCGTCAACTTGATGCGAGCAGTATTCTTACTTCGAAAAAAAATAACTCTGATTCTGCTTTCGAACGTCTCATTTTTTGTTCCGTTCTGAAAATCCAATTCTCACATTTCGTTCCAACATAAATCTTGTGATTCAACAGATTAACTTAATTGGTTTTTCATTTTTGG